CTTTAGTGGCAAGGATGGTGGTTTCCTCCTCGGAATCAGTGGGGGCGGTCAGTGCTGTTTTATCTCCATCCGGGATGGCAGAGATGATGTTGCAAGGTTTTCCCTCAACCTTTTTCGAGGGCTTTGAGGTCCATTGCTCATCATTAAGGAGATTCGGATGGACCCACATCACTTGATCCGATGGTAGAGTCTGGGGAACTAAACCTTTCCCTCGTTGGTTGTGAGGGTCGTCATTAGTGATTTTCAAGACTGCCTTGGGGATAAGATTATCCCTGCCAGAGCCTGGACTTCCGGGAGACCCGTCCCAAAGCTCAAGGTGACCATATTCATGGTTACCTGCTTTTGAACCTTCTCCTTCTTCAGGACTCCTGCATCGTAGAGGGCCTGGAGCTTATCCTTGAGGATGTAACACTTGGAGGTGTGATGGCTAAGGAATCTGTGATAGGCGCAATAACTCGGGTCATTGGTTTTGTTTGCTTCGTCAGGCTTCGTGACCTCTGGCAATTTAATTCGATTGCTCTTGAGTAGAGTATCTAATGTTTCCACCACTTGGTCTTCTTTGAAATTGTATTGCCGAGGGGGGCGTTGCTCAAATTGTCTGGGCTTCGGCTTTGGAGAAGCTTTGGGTGTCGGGGTGGAATCGACGGCCATGATCTCTTTTCCTCTTGTTCGAGGAGGATTCTTTGGCATGGCTGGTTCCGCAGCTCCCTTCTTGGGCTGCAGCTCTTCAGCCTCTAGCCTCTTGATCATGTTTTCCACTTGCTCGCCCTGACGAACAAGCTCCTTCCATGTCCGGGTTTCCACCGCGCCCACCCTGGATAGAATATGGATTGAGAGGTTATTGCGGCACATCTTGATCAGTTTGGATTCAGAAACTTGGTCCCGACAGTGGACCGATCGGTTCCGGAACCTCTTCACGAAGTCGTTGACTGACTCTGACTTCCGTTGCTTTTCGATGAGGAGGGTGGCCATCGACACCTCCGTGTCGTCGTCGAAGAAGCGGGCCAGGAAGAGTCTTTCCGCGTCGGCCCATGACTTGATAGAGCCAGGTTCTAACTTCCGGAACCATTCAAAGGCCACCCCCTTGAGGGTGCCTATGAATAGCCGAGTGAGAATAGCGTCGTTCCCCATGAGGAATCTGGTCTGCGCCATGAAGTAATAAATGTATTGCGAGGGA